GACTAATCAGGATATATTTTATTTTAGCTAAATAATGTAAGTTTGTGTCTTTCAAGATGTCGGTTCATTGCTTCTATGTTATCTAATTTATATGCCCAAGTTTACTGAGCTGTCTTATATGTTTAATTTTTCTCTGCTCAATGGACATATCGTTCGTGCCTGCTTTATGTATGTTCTGTCTCTTCTTGCTTTACCAGGCTAGAGGTACATCACTTTCACCCCTCTTTTCTGAAAGCCCGTTTTACTTTTCCCCCTCTGTTTTTACCCAATTTAAAATATTTTGATCTCTGTTTGTTATATTTTTTTCTTTGTATGTTTGCTTTGTGTTTTGTTTCTTAGTTTGCTTGTCTTTTTGCTGCTGGGATCTTAAGATAGACTTTCAAACTGCACACTTTATAGCATTCTTTCTAGCGCAGTGCATTTCTTACAATATATTGTTTTCTAAGCACAGAGTTGGTATATGATATTTCAAACTCAATTCTGTTCTCCCTTGGAGATTTTCTTTTGACCCATGAATTATTTAGAACTTTATTACTCACCTTTGAAGATTTTTTCCCCTTTAATTCTCTGTTTTTATGTCTCATCAGACACTATGGTTAAGGACTGTCTTCTCATTTCATTTAAAGATCTCATGGTTTGATTGGTCACACATGCTATGACCTACCTGGGTGAATGTCCTCTGTGTACTTAAATAGATTACTCAGTTGTTTGTGCTTTCGAGTCCTCAGAGCACTGCCCTTTTTTGTGTTTGTGTGCTAAGGCTTTGTTGCTAAGAAGAACAGGGCAGAGCACACTTCTTTCATATTACCTTTAATGAGTGCCTTTCATGTTAGTTTGTCGGGAAGTTTGCTTATTTGTAAATAATGGTTCCTGAAATTATCTCACGGAGATCCTCTTACAGGTCAAAAGTATCTGTGAGGCCATATAAGGTGAATGAAAACCGATCTTCCTTCCTTAATAAACATTATTCTCCTATTTTTTTTGTATAAAATGAGGTAGAGGTTTGCTTGTCATGCCTCAGATGTGTTCATGGAAACATGAACCTATTCAGGTTTCCCTGTAATTTAGAGAGTGGAAAGGGAGAACATGGATGGACTTATGCACATAGCATAGGACTGAGGGAAGTGTGTTGGTAGCAGTATTCACCTTGCATGGGTTTGGACATCTAAGATTTGTGCTTTGGTGGTAGTGGCCAATTTTTCTGTGGTTAGATCATTTAACCACAGAATGAGAGTCATGCCCATTGGAGGCTTATCCAACTTACAGGAAGACCTTATAGGAAACACGGTAAGATTTTTGGGAAGGAAAACTGACAGAGGCCAGACTGACTGAAATCTTAGTGAGAATTCAGGGGTGATCATTCTGTGAGCATACAATTATACATAGAGTCAAATCAGAAAATAATTACTCCATGGCTTAGGGAAATGGCATTGTGCAGATGGAAATCTGAGCAAATGCATGACAAGCAGCCTTGGGGCAGCAAACTGAGGATGCTGGTCCAGGGAGAGAATCCACGATGGTCTTCTCAAAGCCTAGGAGATCCAGGGCTAGGAGAATCCAAGAGAATGTGGCCAAGGAAGTTACTCATACAGAGATAGGTATACAAGTAGTGAGCAGAAAGTAAATCCTTGATAACATTTTTATGCCTATGTAGAATTAAACATGTATTTGAAACTGCTTGCTAAATAATATAAACATCCAAGTTTGTATATTAAGAAATAATGACACCGATCATCAGAGTAGTACTGGTAGTAAGTAAAGTGGGTAACAGGAAAGGTTGTCTAGGAATATAGGTAGGTCTCTATTATCTGAAGCAAGAGCAGGATCTGATAGACACCACCACTGTTAGGTAAAACTAACTATAATTCAGACACTGAATCCTTGAGTTAGTAGACAGTTCCCCTGTCTTCTGCCAATTTCTCCATCTCCGATTCAGTGCCGTTTTCTACTCTAAGAACCCAGAACTAAAAGCGTATTCCTCTTGTTTCAATAACAAAATTCCAAGGCTGAATGCAAGCCAGTATTAAATGGATCATCACCTTTTAAAGGGGGTCAGGCCAGCCAGCCATCTTCCACTAACCTTGGTACCTTTAGTCTGTCAAAACATGCTGCACAAGCCAATTTCTGTTTTGTAGGCTTGATGTTTTATTCATCACAGGGCAAGGTTGACCCTGGATTTGTGTTTGAACAAAGGTTATCTTTGGATTAGCTCTCTGTTGGTGACCTGACTCTGCTCCATCCTGCATAATCCAGTCACTCTTGGGAATATCAATTAAGGTCCTCAATCACACTAATTAGCATGTCTTCTACGTGTTGCTCTAGACATCCAGCAACTTACAAACAGGGAAAAGGTAAAATCCAAAGAGGGGTGTGTGTGTGTGTGTGTGTGTGTGTGTGTG